ATCGGCTCCGGCTATCACCATAATGGCGGCTGCTTCCTTCATGGCATTAAGGGCTTTGGGGGCAGCGGATATCCTAACAAGGATCTCACTGCATACAGCCTTGGATAAAGCACTGTCACTAGTAGACACTATCACTACACCGGCGTCATCTGTCAGATATTGTCGAAGTACTTCCAGAACTTGGGAAAGAACTTCTGGTATGTCTTCGCTCATAATATCTACGCCTTCCCTACTCTGGAACATAAATTGGTTAGTAAACACATGCACCTATAATGTAATGGAAAAAGGTTTTTTATTATCTCGAATGGATAGCGCTTGACTGTCACTCCACGAGTTGGAAGTTGGAAATTAAATCGTTGATGGTAATGCACTATACCGTTTAAATGTGATAAAAAACTATAATACACTTTTAAGCTAGTTTAAATTTCAGTTAAAAGCGTGATGTTTTAAGTAAATAGACAGTCATTATAAGTTAAAAGCAAATAAATTAATATTGGTATTAAAATTATAATAAAATATAAAAATTGCAATTTCAGCCAATCAAAACTATTAAACAATACAATACGTTGTGTTCATATTATTAATAATGAGTTATGCTTACTGAATTTATCTTGAACAGATGAGCAGCGTATCTGAGCCGTAATGTGCTGCCTTGTCCCCGGCTCGTGCCACTCAGCGCTGCCACTGGCCAGCCTTCACTAACTTCTCCAGCGCTTCACTTTCTGAATCTGATTCTTTTGTTTCTTGTTGCATCTCTTCCCCCTCCTCTTCATAGTCAGCACATGTACCTGGAATATTTAGAATAATATGTCACATCAACTAGCCTTCGTACAAACAATTTGATCCGAACTATACCAACTATCTTTGTATATACATCGTGTTAGTTACACTATTTATATGTCAAGAACGGCTGTACGGTTTGGCTGAAAATTTGTGGAGAGATAACTTAGAACATGGGAAAGGACGTAGGATAGTTTTCATCTGATCGAAAAAGAAATAAATTGATAAAAATTAGTCGTTTAAAATATGACGCTCCCTGACATCTAGTGGCGAATAGTAATACTACTTTTTGCTACTTGCTTTTATAAATTGCTTTAACGACACAACAGCAGATGGCGTTGTTGAGTACCAGGAAGTCAACGAATGTTTGTTTTAAGGTTAGACTAAGAAATTAATTGTTGATTTATATTGTTTTCTGTCATCTTAACGTGTTGAATAAAAAATGCCTAAACGAAATTAATAACAAAAAACCAAAATATATACTAATAATTCCTTAATACCCAGCAAAGCTCGCTAACCAGTTATTATTAATAATAGCTGTACAATTTGAAGAGCTTTTTTATAATGATGTGCCTTCAGAGCCGCAGTGAGAGCATCAACGGTTCGAGCAGCCTCTATGAGATGAGGTACAGCGGCGCCCGCCTGTCGCGATGACACAAGAAACGCGCCCCACTCCCCTTCCAACCTGGTCACTTCACCGGACAGGCCTGAAGAACAAAAAATGATATAATAAAAATTAAAAACAAAAGTTTCAAATAGATAGTAAATTCTCTTGCTAGTTGAACGGCTCTTGCGTAGTTGTTGCCTCTAGAATAGTAATCAACAGCAGTTCTGATATCACCTTTACGCTCGGATATTTCACCAGCTATTTCCCACCATTCCTCCTACAAAGGAAACAAATTGTAAAGTTCATAATCTATGTCTCTAATTAGTGAATCTTAACTTTTTAAAATGTATAGTAATATACAGGAGTTACAGTATAAGAATAAATATTAATGTTTGAGACAGTTATATTAAAAAAATATACTTCTGCTATTCTTTTTTAGTTAAATGCATAACCCTCGTCTTTAACTTGCATCATTCACACTTACATTATCTCTTCAATAGTATAATCAATAATACTAAATCAAAAACAAACGCTCATTGGTCATTTACGTATGTATTAAGACCTACAACGAATTGAGCAGGATCTTTTCATTACTACAACAAGACTATCCTTAGTGAGACCAACAAGCGGTATTCCTACAAATGGCTTCATACTTCAGTAGCATTTTTATTTAGCTATCTGATAATGGATTCCTTTCCTTCCCTATTTTTTTTGTCTATCTGATAATGCAACCTTCACCTGTACTAGTTGATGGCTGGCAGCTCGTCTCGCCGACCACCCTTCACCCACACACGAACCGCGCCTCGCACGTCACCTGACGACCTGTACCAACAAAATAATAATTTACTAGGGCAAATAGATTATTGGTGTTATTCTAACGAAGATTATATATAAGATTTTATTAATATTTTTTTGCAGCGCGTAAATTTTTTTATCAATCTTAAATTATATTCTGAACAGTTATAATTTTTGCACCTGTTGACGTTAGATAGTCCATGTATTGCTGCCTGAGTGATGTCACCGCTTGTCTTTCGACTTTTTCAGCGAGGGCGATGGCATCTGCCCATCTATAGAACTGCTTGTACATATTAATGGCCAATTCTGGCTGAGCGGCTCCACGTACGTAGTACTCTTCGGCGGTGGTTAAGTGTCCCACAAATATTGCTAGACGTGCACGAACTTCGGGACTCTTTAAACCTATGCATTATATTATAATCACGATTAATAAAATAAATACTATTAATACAATAAGTGCGTACTTAAAGAAACATATATGAGATGTACCCGAAACGTTTAAATGCAAAAAAATACCTTCATCAATATTCCCGTCTCCTTTGGTTGAAGCCAACTCGAAAGTTTTCTCTAGATAAAATGTTCTAGCCTCATCACCCACTGCTTTATAGCATTTCGTCGCCAACTGAAAAAAATATATGTTATGAGATACTAAAACGTTTAAATGTTATAATATATATATTAGTCTTTCTCTAATTTGAGCAGTGAGGAATATACCACCACAACTGAATAGCTAACAATTAACCAAACATTACTGTTTTTCGGTATCAGGGTGGTCCAATCTACTTGAACCTAACGTTAATGTAATTAAACCAATAATAAATTGAAGTAGTTATTCTAAAACCATTAGACAATCTTTATTTCTATCTTATATACATGGTCGCTCATAGGTAATGTCGATTCAAATGTAAAAATTTCAACGCATCGATTTAAATGTTAGAACTTCTTAAATTTATCTCTAGCTCGTAGGAACGGTACAGTAATTTTATTTTCTTTGAATAATTTTCTGTTTGTTTGTTGATGAAGGACTACGTTTTGATAAAATAGTGGACAGGAGAAGCGAATGTAAGAGGTTTTGTTGAAGAAATATTAATGTTACCGAAACCGGTTTTTTTTTTCAAGACAATTCTAAACCATAAATGACGAAAGTAACGCAGAATATGATCAAAGAACTTAGTGATACTAAATTCCTACAACATCCGAAATTCAGTTCAGACTTTACACTTGAGATCTATGGCGAAATTCTATTGTACAAAATAATTTGAATCCAACAAATGTTATTAAAGCAGTGCGACATTTTTTTTTGCATTTAAGGTCAAAAAAAAAAACCGTTTAACCTCAGAGCTTACTGCTCTTTGGGAAAAAAACCTCTATACCTCTCATAGTTAGTCTATTTTATTACATTATATATTAAAAAGTGAACACTGAAAATCGACATTATTTATGAGACATCCACTGTACTTATATCCTCTGTACTTGAATACAAATTCACATAAAGCAAATATCGTGAAAAACTTACTAAAAATTAGTAGAATGTTTTCAATGCGTTTGGTAACGAAGCCTTAACAAACTTCTGTTTATATTTAATCTAACTGTAATGTCATTCATATTAACCTCAACATCGTATCCTGTTAGCGCCTGTTCAGCCAGTTGACACCACAACGACCCGACGTCCGCAGACCTCGACACAGCGTCCAAGTATTGAGCACAATCCTTTAAGTCCCCGCTACGTAACGCCGAATCTATTCAAAATAAATAGTAATTTCCATTTAATATTCCATATAAATTATCAATATAGCGATTGATGAAAATAAATTGAAATAGAACTTAGAACCTTAAATCAATCCTGTTATAATAAAATCGTTAATTTATTGTCTATTACCAGAAAAAAAAATGGCTTAAAAGTACTCTGTATTATTCTATAAGTTAATCTGTCCAAAAAGTTACTTCAGCAACATACTGAATCTTGCTGTGTTGATAGTGTACACCACATTAACATTACCCTACTATGAACTTTAAATTTAAACGTCGTCTATATAAAAATTTCATAGTAATCATTTCAAACAATAAAAAATAAATGAAAAGAATGTTTCGGTTACTTTACAGCAACCATGATCACGGGCAGACTAGATGTGTTTCATTTAAATGAATACTAGATCTCATTAATCCTACTAATATCATAATTGCGAAAGTTTGTGAGTGTGTGTGTATGTTTGTTACTTTTTCACGCTCAAACGGTTGAACCGATTTTGATAAAATTTTGTATACAGGAAGCTGACGTCCAGGAATAACACATAGGCTACTTTACATCCCGGAAATCCCAAAAATCCCGGAAGTCCGCGGGTAAAACCGCGGGGCGCAGCTAGTATAAAAATAATGTCAATACTGTAATGGGTACATACTAAAAGCCAGTCGATGTTCATCCAATACAATGGCCTGGATGTGACCTCCTTCCAGTAGGACTCGTCGCTCTGATACTGATACAGCCGAGACTGATACACACTCAGACATGTCAACACACTGAGGCTCCCACACACTGTACCTGTAACACATACAAACAAACATATATATAAGTAGGAACAACCTTATGATCCATGTATATCTTACTGTATGTAAGATAAAGATATAATGAGTAAAAACTAGGATTAATTTACAGGAATATTTTGATATGTTCTCTCCCAAAAAAAGAAATCAATATGGATCATTTAACCCATTGCCAACGATACACTATTTTTAAGTTAGAAGATTTACTATATATATTCAAATAAATTTTGTACACATAGTAAGTTACTTTTATCCAGTACAATTAAAAAATATACAGTCAAAACCCCTTCAATGTCCCTTCAATGTCGTTATAAACGGTTTTGACTGTATTATTAAAATCTAACCAAATCAGCAAATGTGTTGGGGTTTGGGCTACAACAGCGTCACTGTTTTCTATCCATTGCACGAAACTAACTCCGCTCGCGATAATTTCCTAAAAAAATGAAATAACAGACAATAGAATATCATATTCATTTGACTCAATTTATCCAGCTATGTCGTTTACGCTAGATATATGAGTGCTACCTTTTCACCGGTATCAATACAGAGAAGTGCAAGTCGTCGTCTAGTATGACGGAACAGAAGCAGATGTCCGCTCTCAGTCAGCTCCAACCAATCCACCCGAGCTTCGTGCCACCATGGCCCTAACTGAACTCCTACAACATTCACATCATTGATATTAATAAATATAATGCAACGACATCAATCTTTTTTTTCATAACAAAGGAACTCTAACATCTATCCTACGTATGTTCCGTACCTGTAACAAGATCAATAACAGCAATCGTCTGTCTGTCAGCAGATAGGCGAAGTGTTTTCGTTCTTCCTCCGCCTTCCTGCCCTCATTGATACGGACACTGAGCACGTGAGGATTCACACGCTCAGTACGAACCTCCATAAGATACGAATCATTTTAGTATCAATTAAATTACTTGACATTGTGTAGATCTTGATCTATACTCACGGTTTGTAGTACTCTATCGAGGCCGTACTCCACCACACTAAGTTCGCCAGCACGCTGCAACAGACAGGCTCCACCCACAGCTGCATATATACGCTCCCCTCCACTGGACCATGGTATCTGGAGTATTCATGACTATAAACTTTTAACTAACTTTAACTTTTTGTTAAAATATCATCTGGCATTTTAGCAGTTTATAAATAATCAATTTTAACAGACTTATCTGCTACTGCCTGTCTCACAAAATGGTATCTAACATCTATATGTATAGATCTCCTGTGGTATACTGGATTCAAAACAAGTTTTTATACACTTTGTTAATCATTATACAAAATCATTGTTTCTGAATTAACTCCAATTTTCAAAATAAATAGCCTCCTTACTGGCTTCTCACATGGAAATATACTGTGCTTCTGTTGAAAACAAAGCTATATTTCTGTTTTCTACATTCAAAAGAAATTACTAAACCAGACAACTTAAAATAAAATCTAGAAAAAGATTTTTTATCATTTGAACCTGAACCCCAACCTGCATCAACATATCCTTGTCTATAACAATTATCCTTTCGTAAAACAAGGCCAAAGATTTTAGTAACTTTTGAGTACTTTAAAATTCGTTTTAAATGTTTCCAATGAGTTTCATCATATGAGTTCTTAAACTGACTCAAATAACATACACTGTAAGCTAAGTCTGGTCTGGTCAAGACCGATAAATACATAAAATTACCTACCAGTTGTCTACATGGAATTTTCTTGTCACAAAAACTGTTCTTAGATTTTTCTATCCTTACATTAACCTCCATAGGAGTTTCCACAGTTTTACAATGTAACATATTAAATCATTTCAGAAAGCTTTCTACATATTGTTCTTGATCAACAGTTATAACATCTTCATACATATTTACTCTTAAAACTAAACAATGCTTTATTTGGTCTAGATCTTTTATTTAAAATTTACTGCTTAAATCTTGTATTAACTGATTAGTTGTCATTTTACAATTAGAGAATACAAAAAAGTCATCAACAAACAAATCTATTATCACTTTAACATTTCTTTCAAACTTTATAAATAAACAAGGTTCATACTTAGATTTTAAATGACCTAAAGATTTTAACTGATCATTGCCTCTCTCATACCATGCATGTGAGGACTGCTCAAGTCCATAGATGGCATGTTTATTATTATCATCCTCATACAATACAGGTTTTTGAATATACACAGAATCATTCAAAAATATCATAGGTGATAGAGCCTAGCTGTGGTCAAGTGAATGCAGCTCGAACATGAGCTGTCTCGACCGGGGAAGTGCCACCCTCTCACAGAAGATCAGTGTGAAGTAGTCTTTAATGGCTGCGTTTCTTCCGATGAGTAGGAGTGCCGTTTGTCCTTTTCCTTCTCCCATCCTTTCCTCCCCTTTCCATTTTTCCTCCCCCTCTTCCCTAATCAAGGGTGGTGACACATCCACAACATGTCTTATGTATAGTGTAGGCCGTCTGCTCGGTTGCCCCCTTTAACATAAAAAAAAACATTCAGGAAAGCTGATGTTGTTGGTGTATATTTAAAACTAATTTTACAGTTAAAGAAAATAACAATCTTAGAGTAGAATAATGTAGCACAGGGGAAAGTCTCATGATAGTGTATGCCAGCTTTCTGTGAAAAACATATTGCCATTAATCTTGAATGATAATGCACCTTACCAACACTATCATACTTTGTTTTTAAACACCCATTTGTACTGAGCTACCATAGTATCACAAGAGTTATCCACAAGTTCTCATTCATCATTTATCTTAAACAATTCTTATTCTTCCTCCATACTTGCTCTCCAAATTACTCTCAGTCCCATTTAAAGCTCCCTCATGTGTAATATTCATTTTAATCTAATCATCTGATTTGAAGAAGCTTCTGGAATATATGTGACATAAATTATATCACATTCAGTATGTGTGCTATCTACATTACCTTTTCTTCTTTTTCACTCTGTTCCTACGCTTAAACCTTACACTCAATAGGAATATTAACTGTATTTTAGGTTGGTTACATTATAATGATGTCTCCTACTAGTTAACTAGTTTTAACTGAGTTATTTTTACAGGATTATAAACCCTATAGCCTTTCAAAATAAGTTCTTTATGTTTCATATCCAATTTCTAACGATTTTCTTTACACCTGACAACTTGCATTATGCATTTTGTGTATTATTAAATAAATAATGTTACCGAATTCGAAAATTTGCTAACCGTCGGAAACTATTAAGCCAAAGGGTAAGACTATATTAGAAAACATGAAGTTAACCACCCCTATATGGTTACGAATTGAATATAGCAAATAAAACTTACCAAATGCGTGTACTATTAATAAAACAAATTCTGTACCTGTTAGACTCATGCCTTAATTTGAATTGCTTGTTTGTTTTAGGTAGCATTAAATTTCTAATGCATTGATTCGTAGTAGGGTGGCCTGAAAAAGAATTTGTCCTACTTCTCGATCGTAATCCAAACTTATATTCTTACATCGAGTTCTGTTCCAAAACCAAACAGTCCTTGTCTTGTCGACGCGATTTGTTGCGAGACTAATGTTATTTATCAGTCATCTCATCATCTGCTTACTCAATCAACCAGTCACCTATAACACACGCAAGTAATAGTTAAAATAGATTTTAAAACATAATTATTGTTTTATTTTATTTATAACTCTTTATGTAATCAAAAACGTATTACATAAATGTAACTGTGAACGTGAATAGTATCCCATTTCTGAATTTAGGATTCTAAAAAATACTCACAAAAGTATAGTTTTCTTATAAAGCCAGTACTTTTAAATAACAAATAAAACCTTAACTAGAACCAACTAATAATAATCCTAACTCAATACACCTTAAATAAGTTAAATTCAATTTACAAAAATAAAAGTCGTGTTTACAAAGTACTTTCCCGCGTAAAATTCACAAACAAAGCGATATTAGTGATCAGTGTTACCAGAATATTTTTTTCTAGAATCGCCCCGCCGCACTGGAGCGCGCGTGTAACCCCGAGGTAGCCCCATCATGGTGCACAGGTAGTTAGGCGGGAAAGTTGAAATAAATTCATGAGCTTATTATTGGTTTTATGTTAATTAAATTCGTTCTATTATTTTACAATAATAAATAATATTTTAAATACAAATAAAATTCAATTATAATACAAATGGTCAAGATTTTTTTATTTTTATTGATTCCACTTTCTTTCTAAAATAATTTACCTGTTTCGATTAACTTTTTCTGTTTTTTACTAGTTAAACTTGTTGCCTTGTGTTGATGAGTTTTTCTGCTGCAATGAACTTTTAAATCATGCTTATGAGCACGTAAATTCACCCGGCACCATTTACAATATGCCTCTCCTTGACCTGCTAATATCAAATCAAATCGGCTACCTGATTTCAGCGGATAAAATAATATCGCCAAGCGGTAAGGGAGGGGGCAACACTGAGCGTCACCGCTTCAACATCACTTTGGATGCGTTGGGAATTTAAAGGTTCGGTTCAATTTATAAGTGTGTTTCCTAAATATATTATATAAGTTTTCCATCAACAAAATAAAAACAAAACGTTAGCGTTTAGACAAAACAGCCGATGTCGTCTATACAACACTCATTTGATCTGTCAAATAAATATCAATAAATTTGTCGATTGTTTTTCAATGATCTTTAAATTATTTACTGTTTCGGTTCTATTTATAGTTATGATAAATTTTTGGATTAGTTAATGTTTTTGTTGAAGAAAAACTAGAAAATCTTAATTTGTTCATGTTACGCTACTATCATATTCAGTTGGTGTTTTTCTGTGGCTCCTGAGTTCTATCACCACGTCGTCAGTCGTGGTCAAAATGAATGAAATCCATTGCCTAGGTCTCAGGTCAACTCATTTATGAATTTCGTCAATTGAAGTTTGCTTTTGATACACAGAACCAGTCTTCTGGACCCAGGAACATATGATGTTAGAACTTGTCCTGTAATGTTACAGTATATTTTAATACTAGCTTTTGCCGCGACTTCGTCGGTGTGGAATAGTGACTTCCGGCAGATTTTTGGTTCTTCCCACATAGTTCCCGTTCTTGCGGGGTTTTCGGAATGGTCGAGTTCCCGTAGAATTTTCAGGATAAAACCTATGTTTTTTCTTTAATTCACAATGAAGTACTCTTAACCAACAACATATTTATTTGTTTATTTGAATAAAGATTAATATTATTATGTTGATACAACTTAAACAAATTGTTTCGACCAAATTAGGTACCATAAAAACGGTTTTTGTGAGTTAATCTTAAAAGATAGACATACATTGTCCCGGACTGTTTTTTAGATCAGTAAAAGAGCTATTATTCTTTAATACATATTTTTTGGATATCTTGAACCGTTTTCACGGCGCACGCAACGGAAGACTTCAAAGATGAAATAATTTCTCCCGTTTTTTACACATTTACCACTACATATATCTTTGCTCCTATTGGTTGTAGCGTGATGTCAGGGATTGCGTTTCTAGCCTCTTTTGGAGAACCCGTCCCAAACCTTACGCTTTTATCTTCAATTCCTACTAAATATATATATTTTTTAGATCGAATTCCTTGAAGTAGTTAAAGTTCAGTTATGTTCGACTAAATTAACTCAATTTAAGAAAATTTTAAGTTTCATAAATACAGTTCTTCTATATATTTTTCCAAGGTATTTATTACTATAGATTCTTGTAACTGATCTATTTCTATCAAATCTTACAACACCAGGGGTCCTTTAATGCTAATTTTAAACTTAAAATAATACTCATCTATATTTTAAATAAGCTTTTACCTGGTACGTATTGAACTATATATTATTGAAATATATACATACGTATTGGACTATATATTGCTTAATTCGTCGTTAATTTGAGTAGATTGATTAATGCGGAAATTCTCGGATATTTAGGATAAAAGTAAAAGAATCGTTTAAACTTTTGTTTTTATTTAAATCTAGATATAATTTTCTCCGAATATATCGACAACACGTCGTTTTGCCTTTTTTTTAATATTCGTATAATGTATGTACCTATAATGTCATGTTAAACTACATATATCTAGTATATAAACAGTATAAGATGAAACAACTAGCTATGACTAATCACCTAAATTAGAAATTTCTAAAAAAATAACAGCAAAAAACTGAACGTTATTTAAAATAACGCAGGATAAAACCTAAAACATAATAAAACACATAGTTACTTCACTGACATAAGTTAACTCCGTCTCTTTGTGCCTTTTATATTATAATATTGTCGCACAAAAACTAAATACAGATAGATTGGGAGCAGATTCTTTTTACTTTTTCCTATATGAACTGTGTCAGCTTCGTCAATAAAGTGTTGATAAATATCGGGACATTGTTTAAAACTCGTTACATTGTTACCCAGCTTTTGAGAGCTTACTTTTTTTAAACTATTACTTTATTGGTTTTAATTTTCTATATACTCGATAAAGTAAGGAACATGTGCCGTTTTCGATTAAGTTAAATAAAAGTATGCTTCATGGGGATGAAAAACTGTCATATAATAACTTTGACACTATTTTCCTTTATAACTTTATAGATGGCGTAAGTAGCTCTGAAATTGGTTTGACAATTGACATTAGGACAAATTTTAAATTATTTCAATTTTCAGTTGCTCATTTGCCGTTGTTTACTGTGCTGTACGTTCTTTTTCAAACATTTGACCCGGCTTAATATATCATTGACTCCTATTTCCACGCTTTTGACGATCGAGTATTGACCCCGTTTTTTTTCAATTGGACTTTGTTTTCTGCGAGTACGATCGACCCCAGCTCTTCTCATT